GCTTGAAAATGACACTTCTCAAGCGTGGTCACCCCAAAACGTGTCCAGTTCACTCAAGACTTCTTAGTAAGGACACACAATTACTGGGAGCTGAGTCTGTGGACACCTGGACTTCCACCGCTGTCTCTACCTGCTTTGGGCCATCCGAGGCACCTTCTCAGCCACAAAACTCCATTAACACAAAAGGCCCTTCAACAACTCTTCAAATGTGAGAGCAGCTGCTCTAATACACGGCAGAGGAAGATTCAGCACCGTGAAAGCCGAGTGGGGTTTACCCCAGGAAGCCAGCACACTTCCTCCACCTCCTGGAAGAATTCTATAACTGCTGAGCCGCTTTTTTAGGTGACAAAGGGCTCATCTTTGGCACCTTCTTTAAGTGCATGTAGAGGCAGTTCAAATACAGGGGAAAGAGATGAAACATGAGCAAATGAGCAGGGCCGAGAGGATCTCTTTTCTGGTCCATACTCTTGACAGGCTGTTCCTGCACCACCCTGTCTTTGAACGGTGGGTTTTAACACAAATTCCTCCTCAAACACAAGACACTTGGCTTCACTGACCGGGACCTACCACAGCATCCCTCTGTAACACATCTAACCTGACCTGGGAACGGGGTCAGCCCTGCTGCTCTCTTCTCACTGCTCCTCTGCAGCAGCTCTGTCGAGCTGGAGATCACACAGGAAAAAACGGACCCGACTGCTGGCTTTTTGGTATTGTGCAGAAAACCTGTTTATTTGTCTCTCAAAGGCCCAGTCTTGATGGATCAACCCAAAGAACAGACTGCGATTAGTGGATGTGATTAGAGAGGAACGTGCTGCGGCCAAAGGCGTGAAAGCAAAAGATAAACCCCCTTCCAAGCCTACCTTTTAAAAAACATCCTGGAGAGGGTCGCAGCTCAAAGAGGCCCTAATGTACAGCTAATAGAATGACAAACACCTCTGGACAGTCAGTGGTACCCAGCGGGCAGGTAGAGCCAAAATTCCGGTTGGGAGCATCTTTTACGTGCAGGTTACAAAAGGAAAATCCCCTGCCACATGGGATCATCCAGCTCCCTTCGGCGGGTAGTGTTTTAAATGAGAGGCAAAGCGGTTTTTTTGGGGGGGCACCCGCGAAGCACCCTCAAAGGTTTATTCCGATTTAACACAGCGCCCA